AGTGCTCATAACTACATAGGTGTTTCCTATAGATCAAATAGGATAATGAATCTGTGCAGTTTGTCACCTACGAAACATTGTGCAAATAAAGCGAACCTTTTATTGCCCTTGTTTCTCAGGCATGAACACAGGCTGGTTGTGATTGCCAAAAGCTTGGGAGATAATGAGATAAAATAGGCTGTGTCTCATCTTTACTGCTCTTATTCGTGAACCTGGAACCCACTCTGAACATGTGTACCACCCTTACCTAAATTTAAATTCTTCCTCGATTTCAAAGAACCCAGTGCACTTTGTTATATTTCAGTTTGTATTTAATGATACCAGCCTTTTCTGACGTCCTGAAACACACAGTCCATTTCTTTCAGGAGCTCTTTGAGCGGAAGTATTTGGGACCTGAGGAGCTGGGTTTGATTTCCAGTTTACTACTTCTGGAGCCTTAGTGTGTCTTTATGAATAAACTGAGGATGTTGATAAAACCTCTACAGTAAATGTGAAAGGAATATATGTGAAGGTACTGTGTAAGTGTCATTTATGGCTACCTGTCATTACCAAACATTCTGAAGGCAAAATTTGTCTCTGGAACATCTTTCTTGCTTGTAGAGGGTATTGTTCTTATGTGTAGAGAACAAAAGAAGGCAAGCATAATCCCTGCTTTCAAAGCAACAAACGTATCCCATCTGCTACTAATAGCATTTACACAGAAGCAGAACAATTCTCAAAATTCCATCAGTACATAAATGGCAATACAGACACACATTTGAAAGAAATAGCTTCTAGTGAATGCATTGTTAATCCAGGCATGTTTATGTGGGTGGAAGTTTGTAAAGATTGAGTCACAGGAATTGTTTTTTCAGGAAGGGTTAGGCTATGGATAAAAGAACAGCAGAAGGGAATAAGTTCTTCACTTCTCTTCTAGTTTTCATAGAGTTACCTGGGAAAGATTCGGGAATGCGCTGTTGTGTGGATAACGTATGAGAGTGACATGCTGCCATTCCTTGGGGCAGAAAATTCTGGACTTGGTTTGTTGTAATGGGGTTGATTAGATGATGGGTACTCATTCCGCATACTTGACTGGAGCGCAGGAAGGAGTTCTTGCTAAAAAGTTGTGTAGCATTGAGTTGACTCATTCCCACTGCTGTCAAGTCGATTCCGACCTATAGCAATCCTGTAGGGCAGAGTAGCACTGCCCCATAGGGTTTCCTAGGCTGCAGTCTTTATGGGGAGAGATCACCAGGTCTTTTCTCCCTTGGAGCCACTGGTGGGTTTGTACTGCCAACCTTTCGGTTAGCAGCTTCACCAACCAAAACCAGACCCACTGCTGTTGAATCGATTCTGACTCATAGCAACCTTGTAGAACAGAGTAGAACTGCCCCATAGGCTTTCCAAGGCTGTATGTAATCTTTATGGAAGCAGACTGCCACATCTTTCTCCCAGTGGCTGGTGGGTTCCGCTCGCCAGCCTTCTGTGGTTAGCAACTGAGCACTTTAATCACTGCATCACTAGGGCTAAGTGCTTAACCACTGCATCACTAGCAAGAGCACAGTTTAATTCTTGTTTGTTGTTGTTAGTTTAGAATTTTAAAACTCTTGAACTGAATTAGTTCTGTAAAATTTTCCCCCACTAAGCTTTCTCACCAATGCTGCCAGTATACAGTATAAAATAGAGGTTAAGTTCTTGATTCGTGGCTAAAATTTGAGGCTATTTCATTTAGTGGAAGAATAAACAACTCCTGCTGTCTTGAAGGTTTTTTTGTTTTGTTTTGTTTTTGCGGGGAAGGGGGGGTTGGGGGGGAACATTCCAGTTTTTCCATGAAAAAAAGATAAGGGGCTAGATCCACAGATGGTTTCTTACCCCATTGCTTCCAAACCTGAATAACCTCTCTGAAATGGATTAAAAAGCATAGATTTAAAGAGCATATTTTGTTTCTGAGTGAGAAAGAGGGAGACTGGATTTAAAATGAGCCTTGTAAAGTAACGATGTTAAATATGTTTTATGTAAAATATCCGGTCGTTTTCTTTTTCTTTTCTTTATTGGTGGAACACTGAGGAGATCCTAATCTGGCTAAGAAAACGCTTTTTAAAGTACCACTTTAGAACTCCAGATTTGTTAACCCTGGGTCAGAATCTTAGGGCACATTCAATCAGTGATGTTCAGTGTTCTCTTTGCCTTTATTGGTTATTAACATTTGGAGATTAAGCTTCTGTTTTCCTAGTAATTGCCAAGGGCAGAGCGGGTGAAGGTGTTACCTCTAAAAAGGGAAGTAGTAGTTCTAGAACTACAGTGTATGGAAACCCGTAGAATTATTGTTAGGGAGAAAGGAGGAGTGGGATGTGTCTGGACTGGAGGGATAAAGTTGGTAAACAGATGTACTTGAAGAAGAGGCATGTGAGGAGAAATGATGAGAATGCAAAAAGAAGGGAGATGTGGGAAGCAAAATGCAAGAAGCGGGGCAAAGTATGGATGGTTCGTTCTCTGCGTTTCTGGGCTTTGTGACTGCTCTGCTTCTCTGCTGATGACCCGCTGTGGCTGAAAGAGTGGCTCAGATACTTGATGAGCATGCAGGGATTCCCTGAGGACATCCCTCTGGTCATCTTCCTTTTCTTTTATCTTTTTATTCTTCAACTTTTCTCTTTCTTGTTGTACTTTACTGAAGGGTTAGGAGGAAATACTTAATTTGATTAAATATAATAGTAGCTATAACTCTTTAGTGTTTGGCACAGGGGCTGGACCTAAGGGATTTTAACTTTTCCCAGCAGAGGTTACTACCACATAAGCAAAAGGAATATGAAGTCTTTAGGACTTTATTTTGTCTATGTCTTAAAGACTGATGGTGAATTCTGATTTAGGAGAAGTAGGTTCCAGCAGCAATGACTGGACCACTGTTTCTCTTAAAGTCTGAGATTCCCTTTCAGTAAAATGAGAACCCAAAACTAGACATTCTTTGAGATCCTTTTCAGTTTAATAATGATGATTATGATAATATAAAACTAATAACAACATAATAATTACTGTTTTGTAAATGTAGAATTTTGAATGTCCTGTTCTGTTAAATAGAGTTTATCTCATTTATAAGAGGTGGCTTTTGGTCAGCTTGAGGTGGAGTGGGTTGAAATCGCCAGGTCTTTGGTGCATGTCATATAAGCTGTGTAGTAAGATGCCTGTGGAGTTCAGAACCAGTTTCTCAACGTGGTGCACAGGACGTTTCCTATCTTATGTCTTGTTATGATTCCCTCAGGGGCTCTGTACTTCAGCCCACAAAACTCCAGGGCACTTTATGCAGTTTTTTTATCTTAATCATTGTGTCTTTTTTCATAACTGTTTCCCCTGCCCGGAATGCTTCCCATATCTGCCCAAAGAAATTTTAACCTTTGCTTTGAGATCTGTTTCGTATGTTAACTACTCCTAAGCTTTTCCAATGCTCTCTGACCAAGACAGCCCCACTCATTACCCCTACCCCCAATTCATGAGAAACATGAACTACCCCCCATCCCCCCCAAAAAAAAAAAGTTAGTTTTGAGTCAATTTCAACTCATGGCAACTCCATGTGCGTCAAGAGTAAAACTCCATAGGGTTTTCAGTAGCTGATTTTTTGGATGTAGATCACCAGAGGTGCCTCTGGGTGAACTTGAACCTCTAACCTCTGCAAAACATTAAATACCCTCAAAGAACTTTCTATAGTTCTGTACTATAACATTTATTAGGTTATATTATGCTTGTTTATCTTTGTGTCACCTCCGCCTCCTTGATGGCTTGGAAATAACTTATTCATCCTAAAACAGAGCTCAGTAAATGTTTATTGAATAAATGTTTTCTAGGTGTATATTATGCCATTTGTTTATTTAGGGATCTGTACCTGAGTGAGAATCATCCTTCTCTTTAAGGAAAATAGATCAGCAATATAAATCCTCCCTCCTCATTTCTGAGACTTGCTTATTAGCAAGTAAACTAATGTATACTTATTCACTGTACACTTATATATACATACCCAGATTTAAAAAAAAAATCACTATATTATTAAAACTCTGTTTTTCTTTTTAGTGAGAATGAGGGAGAGTTCTAGTTTTTATTAAAACCATGTTTGACAAATTTTACAAGTTGCTGTGATGCTGTCAGAAGGACAGAGCTTAGTTATAGTCATAACAATCTTCCTTTGTCTTTGGAGCTATTATTGTTTTTTGACTTTGCTGACCAGTTTTTCTCCTTTTTTCTGTTAACAAGCATATCGTGAAGTCTTACTATGGGCTACATCCAGGGCTGTTTGTGTGGAAGATGCAGAGATTAGTTATAAGGTCCTTGCCCCAAAGAGTTTATAATTGGATAAGGAGGCACCTGTGTGCACAAGTTGAAGGACAAAAGTGCGTTGCTTTCTGTTAATGCTCTTCTGAAGAAGGAGGCCAAGTTCCATGGTTATTAGTGCTAAAAGAGACTTAGCCACCATGCCCTAACTTTGGGGGAAATGGGACAGAGGGAAGAGCTACAGTATCATTGAGGTCTGGGTGGGACTGAAGAACAGTTATGCACCTGAGTATGGTGAGGCCTTTGAATTATGGTGTTGGCGAAGAATGTTGACTATACCATGGACTGCCAAAAGAATGAACAGATCTGTCTTGGAAAAAGTACAACCAGAATGCTCCTTAGAAGCAAGGATGGCAAGACTATGTCTCACATACTTTGGACATGTTGTTGGGAGGGATCCGTCCCTGGAGAAGGACATCATGCTTTGTAAAGTAGAGGGTCAGTGAAAAAGAGGAAGCCCCCTCAGTGAGATGGATTGACACAGCGGCTGTAACAAGGAGCTTAAGCATGAAAACAATTGCGAAGATGGTGCAGGCCTAGGCAGTATTTCGTTCTGTTGTACCTAAGGTCACTATGAGTTGGAACCGACTCGACGGCACCTAAGAACAACAACAGTCTACTCTATATACTGTCTATAATGTTTGTGTCAAAGTAGAGTGGTTCAGAGAAGGAACAAAGATCCAAGCTCTGAATTTGGCCCGGCTATGCAGTGTTTTCTGGATACTGATTTAAAACGTAATGAATCAGAAGAGACTTCTACCGTTGAACGCTTGAGTTTAATGGGTGCAAATCGTTGCACTAGTCCTACTACTGCTGAAATGACTAAAGGCAGTACAGCCATTCCTTGCTGTAGTAAAAATTTAGTAATGGTGTAGGAGGTGAAACTATTTTAGAATCTAAAATTGTTGCATCTGCAGACTCCGTGAGTAATAGAAATGCAGATCCTGCTTTGTGGAGTATCTTTTCTTCTAATGATGTAAATTATTGGATCAAAAGAGGACCAAGTGATTGTCAGCATCACAGTGGACCATTTGGAAATTTCATGACGAAAATTTCTGGATGGTAAACAAACAAGGTTCTGTTGCCAGAATATATTTCTAGGGTGCAAAACTAATGGTGAGAAGTATAAGAGGGAGTGGCTATTGTATCTGTCAGTCGGCTCTGTATATTGTTTTGTTTATAAACTGTTCAGTCCCAAATCATTTAACTCTTGGTTTGCTGTGGATGGATTTAGTGACTGGCACAACTGGAAAATGATTGATAAACATGAAAACAGTTCAATTTACAGAGATTCTGTGTTGTCATATTTAAACCAAAGATGTGGTTTTGGCTTTATTTATAAAGTAGAAATACAAATTAATGAACAATGTCATTATTGGAAAGCCATTTTACAACACATTGTTGTCATTATAATAATTGCTGAACACGGACTGTCTTTTTGAGGAAGAAATCAAGTGTTTGGTCCTCACAAAATGAAAATTTTTTAGGTTTACTTGAACTCGTTGCTCAGTTTGATCCATTTTTAGCAGGTTACATCTCAAAATATGGTAACACAGGAAAGGGCAACCCATCATATATGTATAAACCAACGTGTGAAGAATTAATAAACTTAATAAGTGATAAAGTTTGATCAGCTATTTTCAGTGAAAAAACTATAGCTCAATATTTCAGTTTTTGTGTAGATTCCACTCCTGATCTTTCACGTATTTGTCAGTTAAGTATTGTTTTAAGATACGTATCTCCAACAGATGGAAAACCACTCAAGCGATTTATGACGTTACTAGCTTAAAAAGTCATACTGATGAAGAAATTGCAAATCAGGTAGTTCACTATTTATGTGAAATTTACAAAACTGATTTTTCTAAGTGCAGAGGCCAGTCCTATGACAGTGCTACCAACATCGTTACAAAGGCATGCAACAGAAAATTTTAGAATGTGACGACTATGCCATTTTCATACCATGTGCTGTGCATTCATTTAATCTTGTAGGCCATAGCACAGTAGATTGTTGTCCAGAAGCAGTTGGTGTTTTTTTTTGCACTGTTCAGTTACTCTACACATTTTTTGCTGACTCTGCTTGCTGATGGGCAGTTCTTAAAACATATTTAGGCAGTGATCAAATATTAAAATGTCTTTCTAATACATGTTGGGAAGTGTATACTGTAGCAATGGGTGTAATCCTGGAATCATACACTCAGATTCTAGAAGTCTTAGAAGATATTGCTGAAGACCAGACACAAAAAGGAAATATAAAAAGAGAAGCTGAAAACACTGCCAACAAAATCGACAACTAGAGTGTGTATTTATGTTGGTTATGTGGAATAATGTATTGCAGCATTGTCATCGGACGAGTCAAACTTTCCCAGATTCAGAAGAAAATTTAAAGACGTGCTTGGATCTCTACCAGTCACTATGAGTTGAACCAACTCGACAGCAATGGGTTTGGTTCTACCAGTCATTGACGTGTATTTACATAATTTAAGAGAAGATTTTTAAAATTTTGAAAACACAACAGAACAAATACTGCCAAATGTGATTATCAAGCAGTTCACCATTGCAGAAGTGTTAGAAGCAAGTAAACGATGGATGTGCTCCAGAAGTACTGAGTGCCAGAGATCAATTTCATACCATCATTGACACACTTGAACCTTGCAGAAAAGAAGGGTGAAACTGTATGAAGTTCTTTCAAATAGATTTTCCTTCTTAAACAGCGTGGACATACCTGATGAAGAATATGTGAAGGCATCCAAGAAGTTAGTGCAGGTTTATCCAGATAACTTAAATACAAACCTTCAGGGAGAAGTGTGACAACAGTTTCATTCTTGCATGAGAACTAAGTTTACAGATTCAGGAAAGACATATTTTACTCATGTAGGTATGTATGATTCCATAATAGATGACAAATACAATGTGTATTTCCCAGTGTTGAAATTGCTTTACGCATATTCCTAACTTTAATGATCACAAACTGCACAACAGAACACTCATTGTCATCCCTAAAGAGATTCAAAAACCCTCAGCGTACAACCATGATTCAAGAAAGACTTGATTCATTATCCTTATTATGTATGGGGTAGATATTGTTCAGCAGCTAAATTATGATGAAATCGCTGAAGAATTTGTAAGAGCAAAGAATAGAAAGAAATGTGTTTAATTAAAACATGTTACAGATAAAAGTTCTGTCTAAAAATAAAATATAGTGATTTGTTGTGATATTTGTTTTCTGATTATTAAATTTTTTAGAACATCTTTTCGTTTGTTCATTTATAGTTACAGCATTTATTATAAAACAAGCATCAAAATTGAAGTATGAGCCATTTAAAGCAAAATTGGTGAAATTCGATTTTTCATTGTGGGAGAGCAGTAGAATTTTACATTGGTTGTTGAAACAACTAAATTCGCTCACTCAGTTTCTTTGTTGTAGAATACGTAGAATATTCTTTTTGTAGAAAATGTGGTATATAGTAAAAATCTTAGTACCCCCATCCACTGAAAATTTTATTATCCAGTTCATCTCATTCCCCTGAAATAGCATACGCTACTTTTGTGTTCAATCGCTAGTATTATGGCCACATTTAAAAAGAAATTACAGCATGTATAGCTAAGACACACACACACACACACACACACACACACACACACACACACACTCAAATTCGTGAGGAAGCAGTGCCACAGATGATCAGTGTTTAGGGCCCTCACTTGCCTAATCCAGCTCTGTGTCAAGTCAATTGCAACTCATAACAACCCTATAGGACAGAGTAGAACTGCCCCGTAGGGTCTCCATGGCTGTAATCTTTATGGAAGCAAACTGCCACATCTTCCTCCTGCACAGCGACATGTTCGAGTGCTTAACCACGGTACCATCAGGGCTCCTTTTGAGAATGACAAGGGAGTGTTTATTCAGTCATGTCGAATGTCCTCATAGGCAAGTTCAAAGCTTCAGAAAGAAATCTGTAACCTCTGGTAAGCCCTAGGGAACTTCTTTTTTTTACTACCACACATCAAAATAGTTTGAGACTTTTGGGAATTTTCCTTTTGTAATGTGAGTTACATGTTTGGAAGAGAGGGAGACCATACCCCCTAAACTACCAAGTCCTTAAAACCAATAAACAGAACAGCACTTTTTGTGCTAACAGTCCTTCGTGTTTTTTTTGGTTGTATATTTGATTTAAGAAGCAGAGGTTTGAATTGCGGTTTGGGGTAGAATAGACCTTGGAGACCATCTCCTCCCATTTTGCTTCCTAGAACACAGGCCATAAATGCTCTTGCCTGGGTCTCTGGGTGGAGGCAGAGTTAGGAGTAAATAGATTCTCAGTCTCCTTATCTATGACCAGGGTTCCCATTTATTTTCGATTTGTAGATTATTTTGAGGGAGCTCTAGATTTAGAGAACAGTCTAGACACCCAGTTCTAACTCATGCCCAAAGGTGTAGACCCATTAAAGAATGTAATTGTCCTTAACGTGGAGATCTGCTCCTACCAGAGAAACTAATGAAGGCATGTGTGTCGTTAAGAGCCCCAGGATAGACGTAAGTCCCTGGGAAGTGATCTTTGAACCACAGGTGGCTGAGACATAGCCACGTGAGAATCCAGCCCTCTCCTAGTAGCAGGCTGCAAAGTGCTATTGACTTTTCTATTATTTCAGCAGTACTAGCCTACCTTGTAGTATAGAAGTGCATTGGAATTTCTGGAACTCTGGGTTCTGATTCTGTGGTTAATATCCCCTCACAGGTCAGGGACCAGAGCTAACCATTATTTTGTGACACCTTGTGCTTGGCACTCAGCAGGTTCTATGTGGATTATCGTGAATGAAGACTTTGTACTGACTAGTCACTATTTTGTGTATTGCGATTTGTAAAGTTGATCATCCTCAAATGTTAGAATTGACTTTTTGAAGTGAACAAAATGTTTTTCTGTTTATGTTAAAGTAGTACTAATGAGCCCTCCTCTGTTCTTCCTCCCTCATCATCTGCAGTCTGCCGGGATTTTGCTGTCCTGGAGGACCACACCCTGGCTCACAGCCTGCAGGAACAAGAGAGTGAGTAATCGCCCTCGTTATTTGTGCGCCTTCAGTTTTCCCTTTTTAGTAGTAGCTTAAGGCTGGTTTCTTAGGGTGAGGCAGAAAGAGAACACAGTCACCAGGCTACGACATCCTTCATCCTTGAAGGATTTGTTCAGGCAGAGGACACCTGGATGAAGAATGAAGTTCGGGGTGCTTTGAAGCAAGACAGCTGCCAGGGATTAGAAGACTGCCGGGTCTGTAGGATGGAGGAAAAGAGGAGGTTGATCCTTTCCCTTACCTCGCTGTTATAGGAGGGAGACAGTGTTTGTAGACGTATCCGGGGTGTACAGAAGACGGGCACGGGGCACTCGCCCTCCTAGAACAGAGGCCTGAACGTCTTCTCCAGGCAATAGCGGTGTCTACTTAGGCCACGCTGTAGATGTTTCTCAGTATCTATGTATGTACAATGGAAAGTAAGTCTAAGTTACATAAAAGTGCATGTTAGCTTATTTACCATTATGAGTAGAAGCCTGGGTGGCGCAAGGTAGGTTTAAAGTTTGGCAGTTTGAACCTTCTGCCCAGTGGCTCTGTCTAAGAAAAGCCTAGTGAGTTGTGTTGTAAAGATTACAGCCAAGAAAACCCGATGGAGCAGTTCTATTCTGTAACACATGGGGTTGCCATGAATCGGGGGTCAACTCGATAGCAGCCAACAACCACCACTAGCAATATGAATAATTGTGATTTTTGAGTCATTAATTCATGTGTCAGTATAACAGTTGAGTATTGAAAAATGCAGTTAATAAAGAGAGTGGTGACATGTGGTAATAGGAAGAGCACCGTCCCTGTCTTCAGAATATTTGTGTATAAGTTCTGGCACTGCCACTTTCTGCCGTGTGATCAAAGTCAAATCATCTAACCTTTCTGATCCTCTTTTTACTTAATGCAAAAATGGGAATAATTCCTGTACTGTTTATTATACAGGATTTTTGAAAACATAACCTGAAGTAATAGATGTGATGCTCTTTTAATAGTAAAGCTCTCTCAAGTTTATTATGAAGTTTATTATTAACAAGCCAAAACACCCTAACTCTCAATCTTTCTGTCCAGTTGAACATCATTTAGCGTCGAATGTTCAGCGAAACCGTTTGGTCCAACATGATCTCCAGGTGGCTAAGCAACTCCAAGAAGAAGATCTGAAAGCCCAGGCTCAGCTCCAGAAGCGCTACAAAGACCTGTGAGGATCTGGGGAGTGGGAGGGAGTCCTGCCAGGACTGGCTTTTCTGTGGAACAAGCAGCCAGGCCAGGGAGGAAGGAGAATCGCCTCCTGTCCCTCTGATGCCTTTCACTCGTAGATTTCAGATTCTACAATGGCTATTCAGTAGTTTTCTTTGATTTGAAAAATTTTCTTCATTGTTGGGACATTTGACCAGGTTTTGGGACATGTGGATTCTGGTATGACTGCTAAACTCTTTTCAGCTGTATGACTTTGAGCCAGTTAGTCCACCTCTCTGAGTCTGTTTTCTGGTTTATTCTTTGTAGAGAGGACTTGATTTATCCTTTTGTTCAGCTTTCTTATTTTGTAAGTAAATACTTTTATTGACTTTTGCTATACCTGGTACCATGGTAGGCACTGGAGATCACAGATATGAACAAGATGCAGCCTTTTCCTTTAAAGACCGCAGGAACACACCCTCTGGAGAGGAGGGATGTGGTGAGGCCTGAGTTGAGGGTGACGGTAGTGGAGATACAGAGAGGAAGAGACTGAGTCGAGATGTACTGAGGCTTATGTCACAGGTGGAGCTTGAGTGAGAACCAGGGTTAGAATGTACCAGAGTTCTCAATTATTGCCCTTTCCAGTACTCACAGTGCTCTCTTAGGAAGGCCAGTTCTGAGGTAGGTGCAGAAATGCCCATTTAAGGTCTAAGATCCTGAGTCAGGGTAATGATAGTAAGTACTAGCAAGATAAATATAAACTAGGGTTTTGAGACTCATGAATTATGGCTCCCAGATGAGAAAAGAGCCAAGTATTATGTTTTTCTCTGGCACTTAAGGGTTATGGAATTGGCTGAAGTGAGTAAGTTAGAAAGTTTTCACTCCTCTGGCAACATCGACAGCTGGACATCACAGGAAGGAGGAAATGGTGTAAATTTTAGCCAACTGGAACCTTTCACCCAGTCTTGATTCCTGGGGCTCCTGAAGTCAGGCTTGCAGGTTGCTGACTACCTCTTCCTAACTTGGTTTCACTTCCTCTGATTCTGTATAACCAGCTGACCGAACCAGAGATGGTCTTCCTTGTAAATATGGTTCAAAACCATTAAGCTTAGCTGAAACTTCACTCCTTTTTTTCTGTACCAGGAGATCCATCTTCACTGTCACTTGTGACCTTTAATGCTTCGTTTGGATTTACCTTCTCTGCTGTGCTTCTGTTTGCTTCCCTTATATTGTTACCTTGCATTGTAGCTAGTCACTTACTCCTGTACAGATTTTTGCATTAATTTGGGGGGTCCAGGTAGTATTCCTTCCCCCTACCCTCCAAACTCTTTCAGCTCAAAAGACTGCCATGAAACAGGAGTACACAGCGTGGAGGCTCACTGAGTAGTGGAAGTTCAGTTGGCAGAGAGAAAATAAGATGTATGTGTTTAGTAAATGAACTGCATATGTAAATCACAATTGTGATTTTATTCCAGCATCTTTTTAGATAGTAGACTCTAAGCTTGTTTGTGTTCATCTTTGCCACCTAATGGTTTTGTGTAAAAATTGGCTTCCTAAAGCTACCTATCACATTCTCGAGTTTTAAATTGCCCCTTGACTTTTCTGGAAACCTGAAACCAAAAGACTTAAGCACCTAAGGATAAACTTTGTAGCCATCTCTGAGAATACTAGACTCTCTTTTCTGTGGAAGTGTTTTAAAGGTGCTATTTTAAAGGACCTGTTTCTCCCACCAAAATGTGTTGTGAATTTCTGAGGGGAGGACGAAGGTTTATTCATATTTGTATTCTCCTGGAGTCCTGATGGCTCAGTGGTTACGAGCTTGGGCTGCTAACCAAGAGATAAGCAGTTGAATCCACCAGCCGTTCCTTGGAAGCCCCATGGGACTGTTCTGCTCTGTCCTGTAGGGTTGCTCTGAGTCGGAATCGACTCGACGGCCACAGGTTTGGTTTTTTGTTTTCTTTTTGGTCCGAAGCAGGTGTTGTTGGAATCTTTGTTGAATGCACAAATGCCAGAGGAAACCATGGGAGCAGCAGTATTACAGCATTTGGTTTTCTTAGTGGACAGAGTGGTAAGAAAACTGGCATCTGCCAGAGAAGCTTCTAGTGTGGGAACAAAAGCTGGGGAATATACAGTTTTTCTTTTCTTTTTAGGTATAATTTTTAAGTGTTCATGTTAAACCTTAAAAAATACAGATAATTAAGAATATTATAAAAAATGATTTTTAAAGTCATACACCTCTTGGTGACCATAGCATTGCTGACATTTGGGTGAGCTCGCTTCCAAACTTTTTCTCTGCACTTTATATGTATCTGCTTATTTGTTGACATTAAGCTCATAGTCCAGGTCTCTTGTAGAGTCTCCAGAAAACATGCCTTTCTCTCTGTCGAGTGGCCCCAGTAAGGTGAGGTGATATGGTAAGGTAGGAAAATCATGGCACGTTCCATTGTAGTGTCTGGGGTTCCGATTCCAGCCCTGCCCTTTGTTTTCTCTGTGATCTTGGGGAAATGATTTGACTTCTCTGGGCCTCAGATTTCTCATCTGTAAGATGTGACATTGTGAACTTCTTTGCCTCGTTATTGTGAGGATTAAAGGGGGTAAAAATATGTACTGGCTCATGATGAACATTCAGTGGTGCTTGCTTTTAGGAAGAATCCTTCCCTATTTGTTTTTGTTATTTTCTCCTTTGTTTTTTAGGGAACAGCAAGACTGTGAAATTGCTCAGGAAATCCAGGAGAAGCTGGCAATTGAGGCAGAGAGACGACGCATTCAGGAGAAGAAAGATGAGGTACAATTTAGTTAATGCCCTTTCGCCTGTGAAGAAAGGTTGCTTAGCCCTAGAGCAAATACTTTCTCTACTCATGGGCTCAATGTGGGTTGCTGGATGGGCCGCAGAGCTCTACTCATTTTGGGTGGAACAGTCCAAGCAGCGCCCCCCATGGATGATCGTTGCTTCGCAGTCAGTTGTGTGGTTGTGAAGTCTTAAGAGATGATACAGGGCTAATTCGACATCGGATGTCTGTCTGTCCATGGACCATTCTTAGCAACTTTAGAGAGAGCTGACCTTGAGTATGATCTGAGCAGGGGTCCGGGAGTAGTCACTGTGAGCGGCTGTCCATTGCTCTCTCTGTTCTTAATAGTTCCACTCTGCCATGATACTCCGGCTCACAGAACTAATATGTTTCCTTCTGGATTGTTTTTTACGTTTCATTGTTTTCAAAGCTGGAAATGACTGAAATTAGCAGTAGTGTTTGGTTTTCAAGAAGACTTGACTTTGCAGTTAACGATTGTATTTGCTTTTGTGCTGTGTTTTTGGCACTTCCTACCAACAAGTTCATTTCAATTTGTATTTGTTCTGTGTTTGCATTCTTTCACACCTACTGTACTCTTCTTGTTCACTGCCTTACTTTATAACAGGGAGGAAAATTATCTGTCATTTTTAATAGTAGGATGGCCATATGATTTATTATTTGCACAGACACACTTTTGAGGCTTTAAGGGACACTGTTAATGCCTCTGGCCAGGAGGAGCCCTGGTGGTGCAGTGGTTAAGAGCTCAGGCTGCTAACCAAAAGATTAGCAGTTTGAATCCACCGGTTACTCCTTGGAAACCCTACGGGGCAGTTCTACTCTGTCCTATAGGGTCTCTGTGGGTTGGAATCAACTCAACAGCAACAGGTTTGGTTGTTTTGTTTTTGTTTTATTAATAACCATGTAAACTGGGGACTGTCCTGGGCAAATGAGCACACACGATCACCCTACTAAATAGATATGATCAAGGTCATCAATAAAGTAGCCTGTGTACCCTGCTATTCCCACTGAGCCCCCCTTACTCCCATAAGGCTTCTCTTTCCATGCCAGATGAGTGTAAGACACCTGGTATGATGTATTTAGTATCTCTTCCAGAAACAAACAGTGGTTCTGTGATCAGCAGAACCGCCTGTAAGAATTGGGGATTATGCTTGATCCTTCCTGTTGTCAACACAGGGGGCTCTTCTTCCTGCGGGCTGTGTGGCTTCTCTGTAGTGAAGACTGCTTTGGGGATGGAACTGGGAACTGAAAGAAGTGATTGTATTTTGTAGACAGGAAGGCTTCTATGTTAAAAATATCAGAGTAGTGAAGTTGGCTTCTTATAAATACTACTGGTGTCCTGTGATTTTTTCTTACCCCATTTAGGGAAAAACAGGATAGAAAGAGAAACCAAAACACTTTATTTTAGGTCAATATCATGCTTTCATGGAGAATTAAAATAAAATCACAGTAAGTAATCTCATGGTGATACTGTATAAAGTGAGCAGTGTAGTGATTAACTCCATTTTTCTGATGAAGAAATTAAGTGTTAAAGAATTAAGTGGCTGGTCCCAAGCTATAATAAGATGCCAGGGAAATGTCTGCGTAATTCAGGTCTCCTGACTGACTGCTTCTGACTCAGATACACTCTGGCACAATAACATAAAACGTGTGGAATTTGTAGTTAGACGCACCTTGGTTTGAATCTCAGCTCCTCTGCTTTCATTATAGGACTTAACAAGATTCCAAATGGGGTTAGTCATGCTGATTGTGCGTACCCTGAAGGGCTGTTGTGAGGTTTGACCGAGGTAATGTGTGTAAGTCCTCTGGGACATATTAATTGTGCTTTCCTTCTTGCTTTCTTCCCAGGTGTTTTCCCCACCGTTCTAAACTGCCCCTTGTAACAACCCTGATCTCTTCTTTATGGACAGACCTGTGCAGAATTAGGGAAATAAATAAACAGGCCAAGTGTGTTCCTATAGGGTGTGACTCGAGGGGTCTACAAAGAGTTTACTTGCCTTATAGGCCTCCTGGAACCCTGGTCTTGCAGTGGTTGAGATCTCAGGCTGCTAACCAAAAGGTCAGCAGTTCGAAATCTACCAGCCGCTCATTGGAAACCCTATGGGGCATTTCTGCTCTGTCCTAGAGGGTCGCTATGAGTCGGAATCAACTCAGTGGCAGTGGGTATAGGCTTCCCACTAGCATGCTCTCCACTTCTGTTTGACCTACTGGAATGTTCTCTCTACCCCAGTACACTGGAGAGGCTGAGAAATCCAGTTATGGAGACTTAGTGAGTCTGACTAACCTTTACAAAGTCCTTCAGACCTGTTGTCTTCATTAGAGGATGACTTCTGTGCTAAGCTAATCTTCTCCCACAGAAAAACGTGGCTCTTAGCCCACCGGTCTGTTGTTGTTACTAAACGAACACAGTTTGCATTAAGAAAGTTTGTTATTGGAGGATATGTTGCTTATTTGTTAAATGCTTATTTATTTGTTTTAGTCCATTGGAAAACAAGTTGCCTCATAGTCTGAGGAGACTGAGACCAAGAAAATAATGCTAATTCTCTGGCCAACTCTTGAAAAACATTGCCTGTTACTCTTGAACTGTCCTAATTCCGTTTTTGTTTTTTTCCTATGTTCCTCTACTTCCCTTTCGTATCTGCTCAGTTAATAAGTTCTTATTCAGTGTCAGGGCTGTGGAAAATTCTTCTCTGGGTTTTCACCCAAATCTCTTTAAGAACTTTCTGGAGTCAGCTCTCCTTAGGGAGTGTAGGGCTTATTGTATATGGCTCATCTCCCCATCGAAAACCCTGCACCGGACGCAGAAGCCAAGGCCTCTCTCCTTCAACATGTGGAGTTTTTGTGAACAATGTGCGTGAGAAGTAGTGCAATTACACAGCTTTGTGTGGGTGAGTTAGCATTTCTGGCTTTCTTTTGGTGTAATTTTACTGTGTTTCTTAACAGAGCACAGATGTAAGAAAAGTGCCACGTGGAAAAGTTAAAAAAAGAAAAAAAGAGAATTCTTTTTTCTTTTTGTCTTCTTCCTAGCATTGTGGCCCCTTTCTGCTGACTTTCTTTGTATCTCTCTTTTTCTCTTTTATTTTTTTAAACTCTTTTATACAGTGCCTTGAATATATGAGTTGAATTTTTTTCCTAGGTGCCCTGTTGAGGGGGCTTGCATCAGAGCTGTACTGTACGAGTTTGTGATTAGTAACTGTGTCAACTCCACTGGGATCTTTCTTTTCAATTACAGCATGAACATGTGTCAGTGCTATTTAATAAAGCCAAGGAATGTCTGTTTAGCATCTTTAACTTCGTTATCCTCAAATAGAACTCTAATTTTGTGTGTGTGTGTGTGTGTGTGTGTGAATACTTGTAGATACACGTCTCAGAACTCAAGTCCAAATATATGTGCGTGTGAAAATATTTTATGGAATTTTTTTTCTTAAGTAAACATTAGTACGGCCAGTATTAGTATAGTTATGAACAGCTTGTGGCACTAGTCCAGCAGTTTGAAGCCGTTTATAATGAGAACTGTTTAAGGGTAGACTTAGTAACTAGTTCACATTAAAAACTGTGTAATATCAACCAGGATACTTTTTCATGCTATAAAAGAATATATAAGTTGGTAATATTTAGAGAATCAGCTCAAATAGCAATGCATCTTTGCTACTTGAACAATTCCCAGGTGTTTTGACACTTTAAAAATAAGTTTATACGTATATGGCCAGAAAGGGGAGTGGAAGAGAGGCTTCTGGTTGAGAAAATTCTTTCTCTGTCTTCTCCTAGTTCTACTGTTGTTTTTACATCCGTAGAGTGATACCGTCCTTCGTCCCTGCTCTTGGAGAGTAGTCCTTTGGGGAGTTTACCTGCCTTGAGTTCTCTACTGAGGTGTTCATTCTGGCTCATAGAGAAGCACAGCGATCTAATGGAGTGGCTTCCCTTGTTTTTTCCTTTCTGACAATCATTTTCAGATCCCCTTTGGGTTTGTTTTTATAACCACGATATCTTCTTTTTGAAGCTCACTGTCATTGTAGGATAGAGGTAAAAAGAATTGAAGCGAGCAGTAGGCCTGCTGTAAAGCATGTATACCCTTAGGAGCCCAGCTCCCTAACTCCATGTTCAGTAGTTTCTCATCTGCTTAGGAACGGCGTGCTGGGCTCCCTGGAGTCCCTTGCGCCTCGCTTGTCTTCATGCCTCTCTTCCAGCACTTACCTTTGTATAGCTTACACTATGTTCATTGTTTTGCTTCTAACACTTAACGGATAAGAACTTGGAGGACATTGACCTTTGAGGACATACACTCTCTTTCCACACTGGTACCTAGCATAATGCTTGCCCCGTTGAAGAGGATCAGTAAATACATGTTTTCATTAAAATGGCTTTTCTCCAGTGTTCTGGAGATCTTTAACTGTGCCTTCTTCTTACACGCACAGTTCCAAGTGGTCCAGAGTTTGGTGGGCTTGGATAACAGAAAAGGGAGAAGTGAAATATAACGATAACATCCCGGTCCAATAAATGTAGTTACTAGGAAGTCTTTTATATAACAGGGCTATTTCTGCATATTAGCCCCACAGTATGTCTACCTGATTAATTTGATTAATTAAAAAATAATTGAAAATGATTTTAAAAGGCTTTAAGCGTTCTTTTAGATTTCTGTTTTCCCAAGTCGTGTTTTGTGGAACACTAATTCTGTGTAAAGGAGCCCTGGTTATGCAACGGTTAAGCTGTTTGAACCCACCCAGCAGCTCTGCGGGAGAAAGACCTGGAGATCTGCTTCCATAAAGATTATACCCGAGAAAACCCTATGAGGCAGTTCTACTCTGTCCCATGAGGTCGCTGTGAGTTGAAAATAGACTCGACAGCACCTAACAACAACAGTAATTCTGTATAAGGCTTATTTTTTTAATGTGGCAAAAAAGTCTTCTGTCATCAAAGAAATTTGGAAAATCCTGGATTAGAGGAAGACAGTGTTTTTTTATTTTTTGTTTATCCAAGCTTTTAATATGCTAAGGTACATTTTGAATTGCTGGATGTGATACCCGCTTTCCATTGAATGCTTTGTGTTTGTTTGGAGAATCTTTTGAGACCAGTGTTTTGGGGAACGCAGCTTGGGAAATGCTGTTCTAGATTAACCTCTAATAGGAAGGAAGCTGAGGAGCAGGAAGGTTGTTTATGCCAGAGGTGACTAAGCTAGTTAGCTGCATCCAAGCTTTGTGACTAATAATTGCCATCTTGAGCTTGATTCAGGGGAAATGATGTTGGAATCACCTAAGTGAGCTCATTGCACAGTAACGTGGAAAGAAGGGAGGGGTACCGGCTCGAGCTAAACCACACCTGTGATCAAGCAGCAGTTTTTATTTGGATTTTTTACCTCTTCCCCTCTCAAGCCTAGCAAACCTCTTCTTACCCAGACAGAAGTTTACTTAAAAATGAACTGAGGGCTTAGAAGAGCTAAGGGGTTTGGATGCTAAGGTGCACAACACATTATGATTACTATCGTACTGGATGAAAAGTACTTCGTTTGACTAGCTAACGCATTACAGAGACGAGGCATCCTTGTTTCTCCCCAGGTTCCTCACCCTGCGAGTGTGCCTTACTACTGTGTATTCATTAGAATGGAATTCAGTAGCAGGAAAGCAAGTATGAGATCCCTGGAGGGCACTTTAATAATTTCTGCTGGCAGTTGGGCCTGGCCATTTTTCTTATATGTTTTTCCCTCGGCTATAGTAGGGGAAAACTTTTGTTTTCTGTAAAGCAAACCGCTTAGCAAAATGTAATGTTGGAAGCTTAGTAAGCATAACAACTCAGGGAATCTTTTGAATTTTCTTTCTACTTCTGTAGAAAGCATACAGATTTGGAAAACTCTAGTACATAGATGATAGTTTGGCGGGAACAAATTTTCTGTCTGTCCCTCATCTCTCTTCCTAGTGGATTGATGTATGAATTTGCATGACATCAAAGATAATGAACCCGGTGCAGGGCCTGGCTCCTGGTAGATACTCAGAGATTTCTTAAAATAATGCATTAGGAAGTAAAAGACAGTTGAACCGGAAGAGCCCTTTAAGACTGAGTAGTTTAATTCAAATTCTTAGTTTATTGGTACAGTCTTTACTTGGACTTATTTAGGAAATTGGAAGAGAAATAATAGTAATTCTTGCTTCAAATTTATATCGTTAACATCTAAACAGTCCTTGCATCCTTTATTATAAATGTGAAAACAAGTATCATTTTTATTACCATTTGCACCAGTGGATATTGTTGCTGTATTTGTATGAGCCTTTAGGAATCTGGTGACAGCTGTGAACCTTCTCTCCAGAAACGTGTATGTGAACATAAAAGTGTATGTACTGTATTATGGGGCTTCTGTAGAGATAATCTTCTTACTCAGAACACTGAATTAAACTGGTTTCTCTTCAGTTCAGAACCTTTGGTGATTCTTCATTCTCTACGTTATAGATTCCAGACTCCTTAAGATTGTTTATAAGGAGCTTCTACGACCCAGCCTCAGACAGTGTTTCCTGTCTCACCAGTTGCTGTGACATATCACACCCCATGTTCTAATGAGACCACTGGCTGTGCCCTATGTCGATGCCCGTTAAGATGTCCATACCTTTGCTGATGAGGTCCTCTCCTGGGATTCTCTTCTTTGTTCAAAACCTAATACAAATGCAAAGCCTTGTACAAATTCCTTTAAGCAACAATATTTCCCCTTCTGTGCTCCCATAGATATTTTAACCCTCTTTGTGGCATTTATAAGTTAATTTTACGATAGTTACTTGTTTTTACCTTTGTTTTTATAGGGAGAGGGTAATCTTTTGGGGAGCAGAGTCTGTTATTTATCACTCTGTATTCACGCTGCCTTGCACATAAACAACCCGTTGCCATCCAGTCGATTCCGACTCATAGCGACCCTGTAGGACAGAATAGAACTGACCCGTGTGGTTTCCAGGGAGCGGCTGGTGGATTTGAACTGCTGACCTTTTGGTTAGCAGGCGAGCTGTCAATGGCTGTGCTACATAGTAACTGCTAAAAACTTGCCTGGGGGTAAAGCAGGCGGGGAGACAGGAGCCTGCTGGCTGATGTCAGTCTGCTGACGACTGTTTTCTCTTTTTCAGTTAAGACAATTATGCTCTAATGAGCGACTAAATCAGCATCACTGAAAGAACTGCTGGTTTTTTTTTTTTTTCAATTTTTAGATTAAATTATATAAGTTTTTATGGATTCCTGGGCCCTTCCCCAGCCAGACTTTTTGGAGATAAGGCTGACACATGCCGCTCTGTAGATGCCCAAGGTATATAACCAGATTCAGAAGTGTTGGGTTTGAATGTCCTCAGGTTTGGTTTGACTTAAAATTCAATTAAAAAAAAGTCTTTTTCACTCGTCTGGATCATGAGCCGCTCCTGCAGAGCGATCACCTGTGGCATTTGGGTAGCATGACATTAATTCCAGAAAGCCTGGTGAGCCGTGACAGAACCGTAAAAGTGTAGACCCTTGACCTGTAGGTTCACTGTGTGGGGCTTGTTCATTCTCTGCCATTACTTATTTCTGTTCTCTCTGTATTTGTAGGACATAGCTCGCATTTTGCAAGAAAAGGAGTTACAGGAAGAAAAAAGGCGAAAGAAACACTTTCCAGAGTCCTCTGGATCCAGTGCCTCTGGAGATAGTTACTGTTATGAAGACGGAGGTAATAATGCCCACGTCGGAACCTACTCCATCCTTAGGCTCAGTCGCAAGACACCCCTTTTAGGTTTGTCAAAAAAGGGCCCGAAGGAACCGGGAAGGTTCCCCCAACCAAAAGCAACGGGGTCAATTAAAATCAAGGCCGGAATCCAACCGAAACCAAAGAAATCAACCGGTCCCTGGAAGAACAAAACCAATTTTTATGGCTGTTAAAACTTGAATATAGTTTTATAATACTTGGCATGCGTTCTTGGTGCTGTAGCCACTCGGAATGCTGTATTCCATTCTGAGCACATAAAGAGGGGCATGCAGAATGGTGGGTGAGTCTTTGGACTTGACTTTCCTCAAGGAAATCCGGGCAGTACTGTTTGAAGCAGCAACGTGTCATGAATAAAGAAGGTACACCATGCATCAGTTACTGGGTGACAAAGCTTTCTTCTCTGCTTCTCTTTTTAATCTTTGCCAATGGGTTAGCCTGCTGATGACAAACAATATGACATTTAAGATTTCTGGTTCATTCTTTGCTGTTGATGCTTTTCTGCTATGTGATTACACTAAGGAATAACTTCTGACGGAGGAGAGCAGCCCTTTCAAAGTCTGGCTCGTCTGGTGCCTGGTTTTGCAGAGCGGTGATGGTGACGGTGTGGTGGTGGCACTTGGGTTACGTGTGATTCTTTATCTTAATAGTGTGTTGGGAAAGGAGTGTTGTCCAGTCCTTTTCAAAGATCTCGCAAAGGAAACACATTTTTAGAGTTACTGGCGTCAGTATTTGCTAAAGAGCAGACAGGAGAAGTGAATAAAACCTAAAGACACCTTCTAGAGAGTAAATATTTTAAGGTCAAAGACTCCAAAAGCCTTTACAGACTAATTACCAATCACTTCTCTATAATTGGAGTCCTGGTGGCACAGTGGTTAAGAGCTTGGCTGCTAACCGAAAAGTCGGCAGTTGGAACCCACCGGGCACTCCTTGGAAACCCTATGGGGCAGTTCAGCTCCGTCCTGGAGGGTCGCCGTGAGTCGGAACCGACTCAGTGGCAACTGGTTTGGTTTAGATTTTCTCTGTAATTCCATTATAGGTGAGTAATTCCATTATATTCCATTATAGGTAAGTAATTCCATTATATTCCATTATAGGTGAGTAATTCCATTATATTCCATTATAGGTAAGTAATTCCATTATATTCCATTATAGGTAAGAAATACCATTATATTCCATTATAGGTAAGTAAGTGTTTCTCTTCCATGAGAAAAACGAAAGGAATGCCTACGTAGATGGTAGAATTATTATTGTTCTTACCCGGTCACATTGTTGTTCTAAATTTATCTCCTAATCAGTAGAGCTCAACTATATGACCCATTTAGTAAGCATGTTGATTCTCTATTCTTTATTGCCTGATGTGTTCTTCCTCCACGTGTAAAATGCTCAGTTCTTTTGATAGCCGTCCTTCTTGTGCGGTTTTTCTGATGAAATCATGCATTACATCATTTAAAAAGATAAATTATTACCATATTTTGCTCTCCTGGAGACCAGAAGATAAAGGGTTATTCTTCAGCTTCAGTTAAAATCTTAGATATGTAGTCTGGTGTTTTTTGTTTGTTTTCATTTTTAATTCTGCTCTGGAGGCATGTTCGCTGCAAATAAAGTAACTTTTAAACCTATTTTTAAAGCAGTAGGATTGCAAGCAAGTATACTAAACTATTAAGTTTAGCCATTCTCTATTAAAAACTTGTATTAACTTGTTAATTGGGACTCAGACCTGGTTATTTTGACCAGCGTACTGTCTACCTGATTCATATTTCTTGGACAAGGACTATGTTAAAAAGTCAGTGGTTTTTCAAGGACTCCTAGAAGTTCGAAAAAATCTTTCCAGTATTCATTTTACTTACTTTTGTAAGCTTGTAGAGAGTGACATATTTGCTTGTTTTTTAGAGTTGGGGGAAGATGGGGGAACAGGATGTGTAATGATCTTCCTAAGCACATGCATGTGAGAATTGGAATTCCTCTTGCCTCAGCTTTGTTGTTGTTGGCAGAGTACGTATTGCTAAATATGCAGTCCCCTTTTATACGCTTTCGAGTTAGACAAACTTGAATTCCACAGAAACCACGTTACAGCTCAGCTCATAGGTACAAAGCCGTCCTTACAGCCTTTGCTGTGGTCCTTTCCCAACACCCCTGGGGTATTCTTTCATTGTACTTCTCTGTCTTCATGTGTGATATGATTCTGCCTTACTTGTATAATGATGACAAATTATCATTACAGAAATCGTCCTCTTTTAAGCTTTTATTGCACTTAATCTTCCATAAATTAAACTTTTAAAAATGATCATACATAGGTTTTCTACAAATCTGGAATTATGTGAAACATCTGTCAAATTTATATCAGCTGTGAAATTCTATGGCTATTGATTTGTGAGCCCATGTTTTTCTTTCAAAGCCACTTACCTGTATTGGGGATATACAGATGTATGTGTGTGTATATATGTATATTTTTTTAAGTCATGGTCTGTGGAGTCATGAGACCTAGGTTCACATTTTACCCTTTCCTTAAGACAAGTGTGATTTTAAGAAAACTTCCTCCTATAATCTCTTGAAGCCTATTTTTTCATCTGTAAACTGGAGATTCTAAAAATACATCCTTTATATTGATGTTGAGGAGATCAAATGATGTGATTTTGGTGAAAGAGAAACTATAAAATACTATTATTCATACATATATTAATATTGTGTGTGTATAATATAGTATTTTATGTATCTAAAAGATAGTTTCAGTTTGAAAGACAAACATGGAGCCACACATATAAAATATATTTTTTGGCTATGAGGGGTGTTAATTGTATTTGCCAAATAACTTGATCTCAAGAAACATACAAGCCTCAATTCTCAACTGGAATGGGTAAGTTTTAAAGGATTCAAACAGATTCCCTCCACTCTGGTCCTTTTTGTCTTTCACAGGTTTAAAAATACCCCATCAGGTGAACTAGGCAATAAATACTTTTTTCTAGTCAGCTCTGAAAATGTGGTGACAGCCTCTTCTCTAATTTTTACAGCACATTTCCTTAAAGTAAAACTACTAATATTGTTCGTTGTTTAGAAGGAATTAAAAAACCAAACCAATCATAGTGTCACAGATCCGTGTTGAAAACAAACCCCTCTTGTCTCATTTGGGTTTGAAGGAGATCGGCACTTATGTAGCTTTCTTTGTGCTCATTGGTGTTAATGCTGTAAACCATTATTCCCTGGATATGACCCCTCATTAAGTAACCGGGCAGTATCAGATTTATTCACAGCAATGGTTAGTTGATTGTTTCTCAGCTGTCACGATACACTTAAAATAATAGTTTGGTTAAAAGAGCAGATACTCTCTTGAATCACAGAGAGTAATTGTTCTCTTTCACTTTTGCTTTTACGTAAAACCGTAAATTATGAAGATAAATAGTTTTACAGGCTATTCAGAAGAAAGATTTTAATTTACATCTTATATTTCTAGAAAATTTCCCCTTCTAAAAAGCTCAAGAGGAAGCAATTTGAGGTTTTTGAGTGGAAGCTTTACAGCATCAGTCATGCAGTTAGCCCATCTCTCCCCCTTGCTCTATTTCTTTATCAGATTAACTATCAAATAAAAATACAGAAAATCCAAAAAAACTAAAAAATTGTATAGTCCTCTGTCTTCTACATCTCGTCAGATCATGGTGGCTATTTCAAATCCAGATCAGCAAGTGATGCATTCTGGCAGGGCACATACGGCTAGCTGTTTCAGAAGTTTTCCATGGACTTGGGAATTTTTTTTTCCAAAATGTAGTTGTGGTCTTAAAAATATTAAAATAAATATACTCTTGCAAAGTGTGTATTGTTCTGCTTCCTTTATTCTCACAGTGGGCTCGTGTTTAAATAAGACCTGGTGAAAGCCCCTCCCCCCCCACTCGTGTGCTGTGTGAAGCTTCTGTTAAACTTGGGCACTTGTATATTTGGCATATAATAAAACAGCCTGTCTTCATACAAAGAATACAATATCATAAAGTTTATTTGAACTGTCTTTAGTAAATGACACCCCCCCCTTTTTTTTTCAATATGTCATCCCTTTTTAATTTTTTCTTCTGCCAAGTTTCAATTAAGATTAGGAGCAGAATTATCTAAAGATCGCAGGATGATTTGCTGCGTTAAATTCCTCCTCTGCTCCATCCCTGTCCATACTGAACTGTAATACAGGGCTGTTCTTTGAAGTAAGTGACAGTGTTTGCTTTGGCCACCTAAGGGCGAGGGTAGAGGAATCTATGGGTTATTTTTCTGAACTAAACAGAAACTAGCACATTCAAAAAAGTATAGTAAGGCTTTATTGTCACTTCCAGTAAGAATACTTGCAAAGCTTCTGACTGAAGTCAGAAAGCTTAATTTTTTCCATTTTACGAGACTCCTTCAATCCCCACATTTCCTCCTTTACCAGTTCTAAACTGGTTTTATAAGTAGAATTCAACATCCAGTGGCTGTAATTATTGTTATTGGCAAATATTAAAATACTCTGTGACTCTACCTAATCATGATCGAGCTCTTCTTTCAGATGTATGCTCTTTCACTTAATTTTATTTTGATTTTTTACTTTTTTTGGCTTTGCACCCAGAATCCTTCACGTATGCATGGACCATTCCAGTGGCTGCTCATCCCCTCTTCTCAGTTTGTTAAGCTGAAAAAGCAGTTTTCTCTGTTTTAAAATATATTAAACATGGGCCGTCTTTCCCCTCTGTGGTGAGGTCATACTCAGATAACCTGCATTTCTGTTTTTTACATCCTTGCATCTCCACTCAGACCAGCCAAGGTCAAGGAGGGCCAGGGAATTGGGTTCTGAATTCTCAAGGCCTTGTAGACTCAAAAATGATGGAAAGCCTGTGAAGCAGAGGAAGGAGAACCCAAAAGTTCCACTGGATAACTCGGAAGACCTGGAAGAGCATCGTTCACCACAGCAAGCCTCTCGCCGGGGCAGAATGAGGGACGGTCCCCAAGTCAGCAGTGAGCAGCATGAAAGGAAGCGATGTGGTCATGAGAGACTCCGGAGACCTCCCCTTCCCAGGATCAGTGGAGAGGTGCTTCTGAGCACTGGATCTGATGACTGGGAGGCTGACAGTAGCCATCGAACTCCAAATTGGGAAAAACAGTCCCGACACCAAGATGAGCTTTCACCAAAGTCCTCACGGGAAGATGGGCTTCACTGCAAGGAAGTTGTATATGGGAGGGACCGTGGGCAGGGTGAGCACAGAGAGAGGAGACACAGGCCAAGGACTCCTCCCTTTTCAGAAAGCGAGGAACGGCTTCACCACAGTGATACAGGTAATGAAGGACAGTCTTGTTGGAAGCCTTTCTACAGACCAGTATGTTTAATAGACGTCTTAGGCAACCTCTCCTTCTTCATTCTATGCTTATGGCTTTGAAATAAATCCTGGAGCCAGATATTACAAAAGGTATTAATCTCAGGTCTGTAGGAAGAAGGAGAACAATTGTGCTTTTTCCCTTCTGCCTTCTGAGAGAATACACTAACTCCTTGGAAGGTTTATCTAGCCCCGGCTAGGGCAGTGAAGCTGCCAGTTCTTCATTTGTGAAGACCATGCATCAGAGATTCTGATACCAAATCAAAACACTTGAATTTCTGGTTTTACTTCAGTGAACCCAAAACATCCCGTAGTGTTTGCCTAACTAGAAGGCCAGCAGGGCTGGAAGTACTAGATTTCCTTGGCCTCATTTTTCCCATCTATAAAATGAGGGTTTAGATAGCTAGTCCTTTAAGATGGCTTTTCTCAAATTGTGGCCTTCAGTCTGTTTTCATCAAAAACAGTTTGGCTGTTTGATGAAAAAGCAGATTTCTGGGTCTCACCTGTATTTACTGAATTACCATCTCTGGAGTGGGGCCTGGATATCTGGGCATGTTTTAGACCTGGAGGTGATTCCTGTATTCTTTAAAGTTTGAAGTTGCCTTAAGTTAATTTTTATGCTCTTTCTCCAACTTTAACTCTACAGTTGGTGTTCTGAAGTGCCAGTACCAGGTAAGTTCTTGGTACCTGTAGCAGAATGAGGTGAATGTTAGAGTTAAGCCTCAAATCCCTGGCATCTCTGAGGCTTAATTCTGAAGTCCATCGTGGACACACTAATGGCTCTCTCTGTTCTGTTCTTGTCTGACAACTGCTGTAGTGATATTTTTTGCAGAGCCCTGGTGGTGCAGTAGTTAAGAGCTCAGCTGCTAACCAAAAGGTTGGCAGTTCAAATCCACCAGCCTGTCCTTGGAAAACCCTGTGGGGCAGTTCCGTTCTGTCCTGTTAGGTTGCTATGAGTCAGAATCGACTCAGTGGCAGTGAGTTTTTCTTTTTTTTATTACACTAGAAGTCATAGCAGCGGCCTGTGTAGTATTTTAATTAGACCATGCTTTTATCTTATCTTGGTTCCGTTTTATTGCTGTTGAAGTTTGACAGAAGACTTTAAAGAAACAAAACAAAAACCAGCGAAGACGGGGTCTCACCCAGGCTACTTGAATTAAGATTTCTGGGGTTGGGTCAAATATTTTCGTATTTATTTAAAGCACCCCAAGGATTACTGGTAAAGGAGGAAGGAGCAAGAGGCACCTGTTGTTATTTTCTTCCTCATCTTTGCCCATTCAAAGTCTGCTTCTGATCTGGAAACTGGTTTCTAGGGTACAGATTCAGGTTGAATTCACTTGGTTCTTCTATCACTTTTTCTGTTATTAAAGGACTTGGTTAAAAAGAAAATTAAAATTCAGCTCAAGAAGCCATACTGAGTATCTACTGTAAATATTCTTGCCTCAGGCTTCATGCCTGGATCTGAACCTTAGAGGGTTAATAGTCAAGCCAAAATGACTGCCATGTAAACAATTGCAAATCAGATATGCTCTGTTAGTGAGACAGGAACAAAGAGCTATGGGAGAATAGAGGAGGGAATAATAAAATCTGTCTGGAGTGGACTTTATGTGAAGGTTACACTATCTCTAGGTTTAGAAAGACAAGTTGCAGATCCACAAGTGTGGAAGGAGCGGTGAGCACCTTGAACTCTGCATTCTGATTCTGTGCCTCTGAACTTAGGAGTGTGGTCTGAGGGCTGGCTAACCTTTATGGCTTTTAGTTTTACCCCAGGGTGTATTCAACAAGCTCTAGAAGTTGAAAGTCACATTGACTTACAGGCCCTAGATAAGGGTCACGGGCGGATACTTTGTTGCTTTTATTTTGCCAGCACAAGGACTGTGTAGGTATTAAAATGGCTACAACAGAAGCTGCTTAGTGTCTGTCGTTTTATACTCAGCTGGCTTTACAAATTTGACCTCCCCATACGCTGCATTTGATTGTAAGACACAGGAGTAGGTCAGAGAAATACGTTACATTAGAATTACCAGGTGTCAGTATCGATAACTTAGTTATCATCGGCCAAAGTTCTGTTTAACTCAGTAATGGAGAAGCTAGCAGGATGACAGGAACCTGATTCTAAAAGCATTTGTAGACAAGGATTTATAGAGTCAGTCGGAAAAGGAATGCGAAATAAAATTGCTAGATTAAATATAAGGTTGGTTGACTTTCTACATGGCATTAAAACCCTACCACCTTTGAGGGTACTTCTGTATTGGGCTGTAAAATCATAGCAGCATATCATTTTCTGCAGGTCAACTTCTAACCTCTCAGAGTCATAAAAATTTGCATTTTTCAGCCGTGAATTGTTAGTAAATATACTATGACATTTCCCAAGAGCGTCAGACTGGCTTACTACAAAATGCCCTTGCATGATATCAGAGAATCTTATCAGTCATAATTTTACATTTACCTTTTTCCAAGCTTAGGATAAATATTTCTTGAATACCAGTCTTTTAAATAGTATTTTCTTACTCTTAAGTATTTAAGGGGGAAAGCTTTATTTGTATTCATTAGAGTCTCGTGTTCCCAAACTAGAGAATGATGAATAGCCAAAGACAAGAACTACGTAGAATAAGAAATGAATGTGGAACTCTTGAAAATATGGCTTGCCTGATTGTTTGAAAACTAGTTTCCAGATTCTGTTTAGGCTACCAAGAGGACAGCCATTCTGTTGACTTCCTTCTGTTAACCTTTTTTTTTTTTTTAAACCATCTTCTGTTTTCTGTAATGACAGCCTTGTTTACTGCTATCTGTAGTTCCTTCTTAAATATTTATAAAAGCTCCTGTCACCTCTGAGAGAACACTGTAATGAGTGGGGAGTCTTGCCAGTCCAGAAATCCAGTATCTCAGGCTGTGGTGATTCTCTTTGATAGAATTTAAGACAAAATATTTTCTCAGATAATTCTGTGGCATAGAGTAGGAATAGGAGGCATAATAATGAAGAAAGTTTGGTGTCTTAAAATCTGAACACGTCTCACTCTATATAATTTTTTTCCACTGGATAGCAAAATGGAAGGGGCTACACATAAGTGTGATCTCTCCCATCATCCTCAGCTAGTCCTTGGGCCACTCACTGAGGCAGGATTTTGCTATAGATAGGAATATGATGTATAGCAGCGTAAGTTATCCACTGGGTTCACCTAACACTCATTTCTTTTCCCTGAAATCTTCCTTTCTAGTGCTGACCAAGCTAATCATAACTCAGGAAAATTTATATTCCATTAAAATGTGGTCCACTTTTTGAGAGTATGCCACTGTTTTCTTGATTCCCTCAAACCACGCAGAAATCTGGGTTGAAACTTGCTCAGCCCAGCATGAACTTCAGTAGCTTTAGAGGTGATTTGAAGTTGGTTCTGTATTTTGGGTAGTCAGGTGCATATAGTCCTGAAGCTAAGCAGGCCAGGTTTAAAACCCTTTATTTGTGGGAAAGACAGATATATGAGTCTGTGGCTTTTGGATTTACCACACAGCTAGGTTGGAAGCTCTACAAAAATAGGTTTCACAAAAGTTAACTCGAACTGTCTTTGTTTGCCCAGGATTCAGTTGTATTTCCCTTCTCTTTCTTTATTTCTTCTTCTTTTTTTTTTTTTTTTTTTACTAGCAAGTGAATCAAACATGGTGAAGCTTCTAGATAAAAATATTTTCAACCTTGATGGATTTAATAATACACTAAACTGGTGATTCCAACCCTAAAACTAC